TAGAATAAAAACAGGAGGGTTCTCAGGTCAGTACCAGCTTAATAAGAGCAGTTCTTCACGTGATATAGCAAAACACCTTCAACCTTTTAAAGAAAATAAAGAAAAATCCAGGGGCAGACATTGTGGCATAGCAAGTTAAGCCGTAGCCTGCAACGCCGGCATCCTGTTTGGGCACTTGTTCTAAACCTGGCTGCTCCACTTCCCATCCAGCTCCCTACTATTGCTCCTGGGAAAGCAGTGGAAGATTGCCCAAATGCTTGAGCCCCTGTCATCCACATGGGAGACCTGGAAGAAGCCTTGGGCTCTTGGCTCTGACCTGGCACAGCCCTGGTCAATGTGGCCTTTTGAAGAGTGAAAAAGTGAATGGAAGATCTGTCCCTTCCTCTCTCTGTAATTATTCCTTTCAAATAAAAAAGCTAAATCTTTTTAAAAATTCTAAAATCATTTATAGCTAAAATTTAATTGATAAATGAAAAAGAAATTTGATTCAGTTATTAACAAGATTATTCATGATGAGACAACTCACAAATATTTTAACATTATTATATATATAATCAACTTCATTTTACAAACAAAAATGACATAAGTTAGAGAGATGTAGCCTTTTAGAAAAGATACATTCTTTGGTCTCTTATTGTTTGTACAGAAATTTTCTTCAGAAAAATGCTTTTTGGTGAAGGACAGTGAACGTAGTTATTTAAGAAGTTGTCTTTTCCTTCAGATAGTGAGTTTGATTGAAGAGGTTTGCTCTGATTCTTCATCGGTCTCTGAGTTAATCTTGCTCCCAGTTGGAGACCGCTTCTTCCTCAAATCCATTGCTGTGTCTGGGGTGTTGTGAATGGATCCTTCACTGGAACCATTCACCTATTTGATGTGCTAGTTAAACATCTGAAATCCCAAACAGGTTATGTGATGGGACTCTAAATTTACTACAGCTTTGGGCCTTGGCTGTTGTCTTCACCCAAGTAGCATTAGATTTCCAAATTCCTACCTGGGTTCTGAGACACACACACACACACACACACACACAGAGTCAAGTGCTGGCTGAGTCACTGTTTTTGGTGAATGATTAAAGACAAGACAGATTGTCCAATAAGTGACCCTAGAAGTTCTCCTTTTGTGGTCTGGAGGAACTAGGTGGAGCTGAGGACTCCTCCCCTTCACCAGTGGAAGCCACGGGGTTTGGAACAACTTCTGGTAGCAGTGGCTCCCTGTCTCCCTACTGGGAAGAGTTGTGCCTAAACCAGCTTCCCACAGGAACTTATCAGCAGTGTTGCCAGACAATAACAGCACCTAAACTCAGACCACTTAGCCCTGCTGTGTGGACTTCATGTTCCTTGCTCATTAAGTCCACTTGCACCTTGCCCTATAAAGGAACAGGGGGTGGGACCCTCTTGCGAAGCACAGACCTTCAGGCACCCCGCTGCACCCTGACCCTCCCTAGCATGCCTCTAGACAAGATGCCCAGAGACTGCTGGGACCCTTCTGCCTGTGGCATACACCAAGGGGATGGCAGATGTTTGCACTGTGGTATTTCTCTTCTCCCACTCTTAAAAAGGAAAACACAGTACTTACCTCACAGGATTGTTCTGAAAGTTAAAATTAGTTATTCATTCAACTCATGTGTAAAGCACTGTTGAAATGGCTCTTATGTAAATGTTTGCTACACAGATTAAAATAAGTCACCTTTGAGAGAGTTGTGTCATGAGAAGAGCAAGCATTTCCGAGTCACAGACCTGGCTTTCCATTCTGACTTTGCTGCTTGTGCCCCTGTGACATCAAGTCCTTAACCTGCAGAATTTCAGAGAGGGTGTGAGTCTTAGATGATGCCTATAAAAGGATCAAGTACACACACTAGTCCACGTTCAATAAATTGCTCATCTGCCTCCCTTTCTGCCTTCCTCCTTACTTCTACCCTTGCTTGCTTCTTAACCCATTCTTTCTTTTCCTCTTTGGTCTACTCATCTGGATTCCCCTCAGTTTTTCCCCAAACTGATAGGACATGCTTTTCCCAACTCCACACATTCCACACACAAGCTGCATGGAATACAGGAATGCATCCTTAGTGGATGTGGGTATGGGGTTGGTGCACATCCTGCCAGGCCTCTTACCGCCTACCCCATGAGAGGTGAGGTGATGATAGTTGTTTCAAGTTCAGTGTGATATGCATTACTATACACACCAGTAGTAATCAGAATTGCATCTTTATGCAAATCTGGGCTGTTCTTTGCTTCCCTCTCCTGGTGAGTTTCACCTGTTGTATTTCTTGAGAGAACAGCATTAATTTGGAGAGATGTAGTAAATAAAGTAATTCTAGACTAGCCACCAAAGATCCACCCTCCCTGCTTCTCTTTCTCAGGGTCTGAGATGGTGTCATCGTTTTGTATAGTGATTTCACTCTGATGTCAGTGGAGCCAGAAAGACTAGGAGAAACTGAGACTCGGAATGAGACATTATGTTGCAGTCCTGGATATGTATATGATGATGAGCTCTGTTGTGACAGTGACTTCAAGTCCCAGGTAGATAGTCAAATCACTGGAGAGGCAGATTTAATACAGTAGGGACTGCTGGAGACTCTGGCAAAATGGAGAACCTGTGTCTGTCCCAGAGACATTAAAATAGATGCATTTCAAGCATTGGGAATTGCAAACCACATTTGTTAGTGAACTAAATTTCCCCGAGGGCTATCAGTTGGAAATATCCCTCAGACCTATACAACTTGGACTCCAGGGAATACAGCAAAAGGTAAGGGTAGAGAGTCAGTAAAGAGATCAGCATCTAGATGGTCCAAGCAGGTGGAATGGGGTGACTGGAGAGAGTTGTCATGGCACACAGTGTGCAGGAAGGAAGCCAGTAGTTAACAGAGACCCAGTTCCATGAATAAGAGTGGCAGTGAAGAATGCCAGACCCTCAGTGATAGGAGGGCAAACAAGGCAGAGTTTCCAATCAGGCAGGCCAAGGTTATGAGCCTGGGAATCATTATTGGGAATTAGAACTGGATGCAAGAAATGGCAAAACAGTGTTACCACTTACTACTGAATCACGTGCATATTTAACTAGTGATCCTTCAAACCCTTAAATATTTCCAAAACTGCTTTTAATTGCTTATTAGAGAAGACTCAGCAAATACAGAGGCCGGTGCTGAGACGCAGTGTACTAAAGACCCTACATGTGGCACCGGCATCCCATATGGTCACTGGTTCGAGTCCCGGCTCTCCACTTCCCTTCCAACTATCTGCTTATGTGCCTAGGAAAGCAGTAGAAGATGGCTCAAGTCCTTGGGCCCCTGTGCCCATGTGGGAGACCCTGATGAAGCTGCTGGCTTTGGATCAGCTCAGCTCTGGTCGTTGCAGCCATTTGGGGAGTGAATTAATGAATGAGCACCTCACTCTTTCTGTCTCTACCTCTCTCTGTAACTCTTTCAAATAAATTAATACTTAAAATAAATTCAGAAAACACAAAAAACATAATAAGAACGAACTTTGGGATTTTCCTTCTTGAGGGTAGACAAGATAGTTTCCAAATTTTGAGGCCATGTAGGGAATCAAAAGCTTTTGCCCTTTGTAGGGAGGACTTGTGGGGTAAGGGGACAGGAAACCGGGGCAGAGCTTAGAATGGGCTGTCTACGTTTCATGAATTTTCTAGAGCAGCACTGATTCAGACCTTTTCTGATTTTTGTCATGTTTGATTTGAAAACATTGTATTCAGGACCCAAAATATTCAACATAGCCCTTATCCAGCTGGATCTTCAGTATTCATAATACAACTTAACCTATTTTAAGAATTATAGACTCTCAGGATATCAAGTATTTACATCTTATTAAGATGCATGTTCTAAATTCCTTTCTGGGGGTTATGGGCTAGTGTGGATTATAGACACTGCTGATCTTTTGCTTCATGGATTCTGTTGTGTTAGAATAATTCTGATTTGGCTAAATACATGCATAGGAGAATATGAATCTTTTCAGGCTTCGACTACTGACCTGTTTTTATGAGCTGTCAGCCCTTGCACATGGTTTTAGTATGTGAGTGACTTTCAAAGGGCACAGAACAAGTCAGATGACAACTAAATGGTTTGGACCCAAATTAGTTACAGACAGCCATCATGTTGAACTCAAGTTCTGGAGTTTGTATGTAAAAGTTCCAGGCTTCTGGCTTTGTCTGGGCCCAGTCTTAGCCACTGTAGCATTGGGGAGTGAGCCAACGAACAGCAGTGCGTGCTTTCTGTCTGCCTCTCAAATGATTAGAAAACAATTCAGAAAGTTATCAGTCGAATGCGAGACTGAGTGATTGGTTTGTTTTTCAAAAACAGATTTTTAGAAGAGAAATATGATACTTAGAGGAGAAACACTACAACTTGGTGTTCTCTGGGTTATTCTTGAACTGCACTCCCTTCTTCTAAAATAAACAAAATAAATAATTCATCATATGGAGATATAGTGGCATTTTCAATGAATAGGGGCTTTGTGTATCACATGTCTCCAAGACGTAAAACCTAACATTTTTCATGTGTGACGGCTACAGTGACTGCACTCAAGCATTCTAACATCTGATATTCTAACATTATTTGTGTATTTAGTTTTTCTTTAAACTTTTTTTGTAATAACCACATCTGCTTTAACAATTTTGTCATTTTTAATCTTTGTTTTGCAAAAGGTTTTAAAAAGTATGTAAATTGCCTATACAATGGAAATTTGAAAAAATAGAATAAAAGAGATAAGAAATTAAATTATAAATATTCTCAAAGGAATTTATGTGATGGATATTTTCCCCATAGTTTTTAGCTCACGGTATTTATACAGTTACTGCTTGAAGAAACAATGGTAAGAAATGTCTGTATCTGAATCACCAATGAATGTTTAATGGATTAGTTAAGAAACAGCAATGCAGGAAATAGAAATTCTAATATTAGCTCCTTGTGATGTAATTTCATGATGTCAAACCACTCAGCTCTGTTATCCCAATTTTGTGCCTTATAAAATTGTGGAAACTATTAATAGATAAACGGTTCAGAGGATGAGAAGAATGAAAGACTTCACGATAAAGAGAAACAGGACAGGAGTTGGAAGAAACGGCTCCGAAGCACAGTCTCGTCAGTTAAGGTGGCCTGGAAGAGTCACACGAGACGCTTCATGTTCCAGAGGCTGTCAGTTTTCCTCACCTCTCAAACACAGATGATAAAACTTGTGTGTATCTTCTTCTACTATAAAGAGAACGGAATTAAATAATGTTGATAAAAGGGCTTTGTAAATTACAGAATGCTGTATAAAAGCAAATAGTTATTTCAGAAACAACACTAGGACGTCGCTGGAGTACCATGTGTCATGGCATGGGCTTCCATTTAACGGGGCTGCTTGGTTTCAGGTGCTTCAAGGGGACTATCAGTGACAAGGCTATGTCACGTTTCTCTCTGAAGGAATTTCTAGGTGGTTCTGAGAATAAAATTCAAAGAATATTTAGAATTTTGATTTTAGTTTTGCTAAATCACCCCAATGCTATTTCAGTGATTTATATGTGTTTTGAGAACTATCAGATTTCCCCATTGTCATTTGCTCCCCATTCCTTAAACCGAATTCCAACCTCATAAACAGTAAACTAGAAACAGATGTGTATAGAAGAACCACTGGTCATCTTTGTATTCCAGATGTCTTGGAATTCTACGATATAATCAAAAGGATTTGAAAAGATCTTGTGCTGGGGCCCGGGTTGTGGCACAGGGGGTTAAGCCGCTTCTGGTGGTGCAAGGCATCCTGTATCAGAGTGCCATCTGAGTCTGGCTACTTTGCTTCCCACCCAGCTTCCTGTTAATGCACAAATGAAACTAGCGGGTGACGCCCCAAACACCCATGTGGGAAGCCAGATGGAATTCCTGGCTCCTGACTTTGGCCTGGTCCAGCCCTAGCTATGACACCTGTTTGGGGAGTGAGCCATATAGGCTAGAAGCTCTCTGTCTCTTTTTCCCTTTCAAAGAAATAAATAATAACTAAATAAATAATATTAAATGATATTTAAAAAGCAAAGATCTTGTGGAGCTAGTTTTGCTATACTGAAAGTTAACATGGAATAGTGAGGGTTCATTTCGTTTGCTGTCCCTTCTGAAATAAAACAAACATCAGGTATTTCTAGGGTTGAGTTCCTGTTTTTTTTTTTTTTTTAATCAAAACAATTTTTTAAAAAAATTTTTGACAGGCAGAGTGGACAGTGAGAGAGAGAGAGAAAGGTCTTCCTTTTCCATTGGTTCACCCCCCAATGGCTGCTGCGGCAGGCGGCCAGCGCACTGCGCTGATCCGAAGCCAGGAGTCAGGTGCTTCTGGTCTCCCATGCAGGTGCAGGGCCCAAGCACTTGGGCCATCCTCCACTGCACTCCCGGGCTACAGCAGAGAGCTAGACTGGAAGAGGAGCAACCGGAACAGAATCCAGGGCCCTGACTGGGACTAGAACCCGGGGTGCTGGCACCACAGGCGGAGGATTAGCCTATTGAGCCGCGGCGCCGGCAAATCAAAACAATTTTTAAAAAAGATTTATTTTATTTTATTTTAAGGTAGAGTTACAAAGAGAAAGAACAAAAGAGAAAGAGAGAATCTCCCATCTGCTGGTTCACTCCCCAAATGGCTGCAACAACTGGGGCTAGACCATGCAGAAGCCAGGAGCCAGGACGTTCTTCAGATCTCCCACATGGGTGCAGGGGTCCGGGGACTTGGGCCATCTTCTGCTGCCTTCCCAGGATATTAGCAGGGAGTCTGGACTGGACGTGAACCAGCATCTATATGGGATGCCAACATGGCATGTGACAGCTTTACCTATCATACCACAATGCTGGCCCCCCAACAAAAGCATTTTTCATAATACTAAAATTAATTTCAAAGCTGAAATTTCCCTAATATTCAGGACTCCTATATCCAATGGCATACTTGATATTCCCACTTAATTTCAGTGTTGGCTGTTTAAAACAGCATGGACAGAACAGAATTCTTGGTAGCTTACCTGCTACCTCTCTTCTCAAAACACATTGTTTACCCCAGTCTTCCCTTTCTCAACTGATGAAACCATTACTCAGTTACTGTCTTATCGTTCAGTTAAAAATCTGTTTCCATGATTCTTCTACTTTACCCTACATATTTAAATCATCAACCAATTTTCTGACTTCACTCTAAAACACAGCCTTAATATTTTTGTTACTTTCCATTTCTGTTATTACCCTATTATACATAAGCCCCCACCTCTTTCTCTCACATTTTTTAGCCATTTAACAGAAACTACAGACACAATGTTTCATTACCCCTAAATACTTCAGTGTTTAATTTCCAAATGTAAGGAGGTTCTCTTAAAAAGCCACAAGTTTTAAAACAAGGAAGCTCTCGTTGATGTAATACTTTTACCTACTCTAGAGAACTTTTTCAGATTTCTCCACAGATGTAAATAAGAGATACTCACTTTTAATACCTTAAGTCTACAGAACAACAGAACTGTGTTGTCCTCATGATGGCAAGCACAGTCCATGAACAGCAGGACTATGGAATCTGTTCTTCTAGTTGTTTATACAGCACCTTTATGAAAACTCAAGAAAGGAAGTGGGCGACTGGGTATGCCTAGCACTGCCTTGTGGTGGATCTCTCATTCGTAACTTGAAATGTCTGGTCTTTAGTCCCATCACAACTGTAAGGTATGGAAGGTGACCTCTGAGGACCCCCTGGTTCTGCAATTCCATAATTTAGGGATGGCTTGTCTCAGGCTGAACTCTGGCACTGTGTTGAGACTGTTAGCAGCTGGGTTCCCAGCATGAAGGAAGTGGTGATGAAAGACAATTCTTGCCCTCAAGGTCCTCACAGGCTGCTGTCCGAGCTCACGTACCGGGGCAAGGATGTAGCTTGGGAGGAAGACGCGAGTGAAACCGGGGCTCTCTCTGCTCTAGGATTTTAATTCTGATATTCTGATTAACGAACTTGGACTGTGAAAGCTAAACGTTACCAATAATTACTTTTGCAATATTTTTCCTAGAGATATTTGAAGAATAAAAGGAAACTTCCAGAATGCTTGTAGTGAGTTCCTATTTCCCTCCACACTTCAGGGTCAAAACAGAACGATTGGAAAGGAGAGATGAGATCAGGGCTTGTGACTTTCAGTTACTGGCTCAGATGAGATGACAAACAGGACATGTTAGAAGAGGGTGCTCAGTGGGCTCAGAGCTGTCAGGAGTTCCATGTTTTTTTTTTTTTTTTTTTTTTTTTTTTTTATCCTAAAGGCACGTCAAGATCAGGATTTTTAATTCTCTTAGGTAGACATTTTAACATATGGAATGACACCCATAAATCTAGACCACTGGCGTCAGCTTTGGATTCCCTGATGAGGGCTGAGTGGGTGGGGCTCCCACACGCAGATGGAGCCTGTCCTCCTTCATCACTTGGTGGAGCCTCCCCCTCCATCGTGTTTGGCTTTTGCTTTTCTCCCACTCTCTTTCTTTCTCCACTGACAGGTGTTTTATTTAGCCTTAAAGGTAATTATTTTACTGGGCACTGTCCCAATCTCTTTATGTTGAACACAATCAGCTGATTATCTGTCATCCCTCTAGGTAACGACAGAAGACACCTTATATAGCACAGTCCTACAAGGACAGGAGTGGGAGGAAGAAAGGGAAGAAGACAGATCTCCCTTTGGTACAAAAAATGCTCTGGGGGTGATACCTATGCAGCCAAAGATGACAGAAAGAAATGACTGGGGTAATAAATTACTACTGTGGTGAGAATGTCCCCCAAGTTGGATTGTGATATATTACAAAACAACATATAATCCACTGTAGAACACGGAGGAGAGAAACCTGAGTTATATTCTTTTGTTATGAGACAAACCCATTACTTTCAGTAAATTGCAATGGTTCACAACTCAGGTGGTCATCTAGATCATGTACAGAGCGACAGACTCTGTTCCACTAGGTTTGTGGTAGAATCAAAGAGTTTTTCAAGTCATGATGAACGCTCCATAGAGAACTCTAATCATCCCAAACACTGAAGACAAGCATGGAGAGCACAAGACATGCGAATTAAGGAGGCCTGCGTATTCTGTGTGGCCATCTTCCTCTTTGAGCCTTGGCCTTCTCATCTGTAAATGTAGGATCTTAGATTAGATCACTCGTTTTCAATTTCCAGGGCAAGACAGAATTTTTGGGAGTATTGATGCCTGTAAGCCTCCCACACAGATCCTGATCTAAGGCCACTGTGCTGAGGTTTCTTGGATGATTCTAACATAAACTAGCCTGAAGAGGTACCACGTCAGACTCTCTCAGTTCTCTTCCTCCTCTAAAATCCAATGGTTTTAGCTGAAGATTCAATTTTTATTTCATTCAAATGGTTAAATTAAAAAATTGCCTATAATCTGAAATGGATTTTTAAATTTTAACTAACTCCCATGGGAATATTTAATTCTAATTGTAATAATAAGTGTCTCCTGTTACAAAACCAAATGCTGGAGGCCGGTGCTGCGCTTGGGCCCCTGCACCCATGTGGAAGACCTGGAAGATCCTGATTCCTGGCTTTGGATGGGCTCAGCTCTGGCCATGTGGGGAGTGAACCAGCGGATGGAAGATCTCTCTCTGTCTCTCTCTCTGTCTCCCTATAACTCTGCCTTTCAAATAAATAAATAAATATTTTAAAAAATTGCTGAACCAAAAACATCGAAGCAAACAAGGTGCTTTAAAAAATAATCCTGAGGCTAGGAGATCAAAATTACATGTGTGCATGTTTGTGTAAGAGAAAATAGAGGTAAGACACTTCTAAGTTAATTAAGAACCTAGAATTTCAAGAAAACATTAAAGCAAAACTGCACAGCCAGGAAATGTAAAAATCAGAGTAGATTTCTGAGGAAAACCAGGCAGAGAAACAAAGACATTTTTACAAAGAACTGGTGTCAAGACACTTGAAGAAAGAGGCAATAAATTTTATATTGATGGTACAGCTAAAGAAGAAACAGTGCAGGTCTGGTGACAAGTAGGATGAAAGCTAAGAAGCTGTGAAGGGAGGCTGTATCCTGGGACAAAGGATTTGAATCCCTTCACTGGAGTTAGAGGAAGCACTGAAGTGTTTAGGGATGAGGAAGCTGAGGAATCTTCATACATGACTACCTCTCTATCATCAACCAGATCACTAAAGAACTGTTTATGTCAAAATGATGACAGACGTACACAAGGAGCTTGCATTAAACATTAAGCATAACATTAAACATTAAATATAAGCATGCAATGCACTCATTATTAATTCACATGAAAAAGATAGGGAATATTCAGACATTAAGGAAAGTTCATCCGAGGAAATCAAGGAGTGGAATGAATCATAACCACCTTCCACACCCATGACTTCATAGTAGTTAGACTGCTGTTAGATTATAAAATGTCTATTTTTATTTATTTGAAAAGCCCAGCAACAAAGATAAAACCCCCTGCAGATTTCCTCCCTAAATGCGTGCAAATAGCCTGGGCTGGGCCAGGTCCAAGCCGGCAGCCAGAGTTTCGCACGAGGGGGGCAGGGGCTGAGGCATCTACCACCTGCTGCCTCCTGGGGTGCGTTAGAGTCGGCGAGGTCCAGAACCAAGACATCCCAAGTGGTGTCTCAGCTGCTACTTCAAACACCTGCCTTGTTATTAGACTTTGATAGAAGTCAACGTTTTCTTGTTCACTATTAAATACTGTTTATATGGCCATTTATTTAGTGCAATATTTGGAAAACACAAGAAGAACGCTCAGACCTTCCATTCCAACATACTGATATAAGTATTGATTTTTGGTTTTTCCGTATGCATATGAGTTTGCAACCATAAATTTAAGTGAGCAGAACTGTGGCCTTACGTTGTCCAAGCCCTGGCACCACCCCGTCAATGTGTTACTTTGCACAGCAAAAGGGAATTAAAGCTGCTGCTTACTTGACTGTTAACAGAAAGACTATTCTAGCTGGAAAGAAAGGCAGAGGGCGCTCCGGAGATGCGGTGGGCAGCAGAGGAACTCACCTCTGCAGTGCTGACCTGGAGGACGGGGCGGGCAATGCCGAGACCATCAGGGAGGAGCTGAGGGCCGCCAGCAGTGAGCAAGGAAACGGGGCCTCCTCCCAACCCTGAACCGCAGTCCCGTGGCATCCCTGTCGGGTTTTTAAGATTTTTAATTATTTTAACAGACTCAGTGTGCTTTGTCGATAGAATTCTAAGAACACAATGACATTCCCTTCCTTCTCCCTTTTGGTTTCTGAAACAGCATTACACACTTACATGACAGCACAAAGCCTTACTACCTCACCACGTGCGTTTAACCAGCGAGAAGACCCCGCGGAGTGGGAAAAGGCATCGCCGTGAGCAGTAGCTGCACGGAGGAAAGACCACGCCACGCCTAACGGCAAACTGCAAGGCAAGCACAGCTCACTCAAACCACAGTGGTGCCGCGGTAACCACCGGTCTCCCGAGGGACACACCGACCAGGGCTGTGTCGGACTTGTGCTGACACAGCGCCCGCTTGAAGCCGCTGCGACGGGGATGAGCGACAGCGACGACGGGAAAGGCGGCGGGGGCCTCCGTCACCTCCCGCACTTCGCAGAAGTGAACGCCCACCCCGGCGCCCGAAGGACACCCGGCTCCGGCCGGGCCCGCACCCTCCCCACGGCGCGCGGCTCGGAGGAGGGGTCCCCGGCAGTGCCTGTGGCCAACTGGGAGATGACCAAGACAGCACCCGGCCGGACGCGCTCCCCGGCCTCGCGAAAAACAAAATAGACCCTGCAGTACAAGACTGAGAAAGGCACCAGCCGCGAGACGGGCTTCTGGCGCCTCACCCCCGCCAGCAACGCAAGGTGCGCTCACCTACGCGGCCCCGGGCCCACCCTTCCCTTCCGGGTGTAGGATGGAAACGCCCCCCCAACGCGGGGCTGACCAATGGGCTCGTTCCTTCCCCGCCGTGGGGGCGGGCCCTCGAGGAGCGACTTCGGGGACACGCCCCCCGTACGCGGCGTACGTGCGTACGTGGCCACGTGCGTCGCGAGCCGGTTCCCTCAGCGCGTGGCGCCCCCCGGCGGCCACAAGGACTCAATGCTCCGACTCCACCTGAGCGCCTGCCATGGAGCCGCAGAGAGAGGCGCGAACGCCCGGGGACCCCACGGCACCGCCGTCCGGGGCCTCCAGATCTCCGACGCCGGATGAGGAGGGGCGGCGGGAGGGCGGCGGCGAAGCGGACGGCGCCGGTGCGGACGGGCTGTGGGCGCTGCCGGTGGAACCGGCCGAGCGGAAGGCCCGAAGTGCCGGCCGCTTGAAGTTAACCGCCGGTCCCGGGGGCCGGCACTGGGTGGCGCCCCCAGAAAGAGGTAGGCCCCCTTGTCGGGGGAAGGGGCGGTGGGACCCGGTCCCGGAACCGCCAGTTTGTGCGTCTCCCTCGGCGCCTTCACCCCCCGCCCGGGAAACCGCTGTGTCCCCGTCCCCAACGAACTCCTCCTTACTTCCCGGGTAACCCTTGGGCGCGTTGGGGCCGGGACGCGGCCTCCGTGTGCCGGAGCCGCCCAGGCGTCTGAGGGTGGCGCGGCCGCTCCGGTGCCTCGGTCTTGTCCCGGACACACTAAACCGGGGGCGAGGGTCAGGCGGGGCGGCCGCCCCCGGGGCTAGTGAGCTCAGGTGGAGCACAAAGTCCCCCCCCCCGGGGTCCTCGAGTGACCCCTTCCTCCCGGCCCCCGGACGCGCGAGCCCCGAAGGCGCGTACGAGCACGGAGCGGGCCTTGCAGAGGCCGCCCCTGCACGCTGTCACCCGGGCGTCTGTCTCGCTCCCGCTACCTGACCCTGAGCGAGGCTGCTCCGTCTCGTTTGGGGGTGTAGGACGGGCAGAGAGAACAGGCAGCCCGTGCGCCCGGGGCTTTCGGCCCGAGTGGCTCGCGTGCACGCGTGTGGAGGGCGCGCAGCCGCGAGCAGAGCGGCCACAGGCCCTGGCCTGCCGGGCGGATGAGCAGTCAGGACCGGCAGTGAATGCCCGCGGGAGCCCGCCGCGTCCTGGGCTCGCCGCGCGGTGTGACCGCGTGCTGCCCTGGGGCAGCTCCGTCCACCCGCGGGGTGTGCACTTCTCCCCAGGTTCCCGCGTGGTGTGACCGCGTGCTGCCCTGCGGCAGCTCCGTCCACGCGGGGTGTGCCGGGGTATGCGGGGCTTCTCCCCAGGTTC